TGGCAAATTACGTCCCTCTAAAAATCCCAATAATTATGTTTGTTTCATAATATTATGTGATTAAGAAAATTCGAAAACTCTTTCCAACGGCCGATGTAAATCAATCGCCTAGATAACTTATTTATATACTTTAAAGTAAAATTTGAAAGCATAATAAAGAACTTAATGTATACCATTTGTTTTGGTTAAGTAATGGGTCAATAATGTATATAATATAATTGGTTAATTATGTGATGATGCATCTTTAATAATGATCGCAATGGCAAAATGACTTTTCAAAATATAATACTAAAATAAAGAGTAAAGTAATATTTAATTTTTTATGAATTTGATTGGTTAATAGTCACGGTTTGATCTTTGTAAATTAGCAAATCAGATGAATATCTTCTTATGATTCGAAACTTAGCATCAATAAAAATCGAAAATTTGGATTTACTGGAAAATTTGCATATATTTGGATATATTTGAAAAATGTTTAGATATTTGAATTTACTTGAACAGATTTAGATCCAAATTTTTCGTGACCTTGCACTGTATTCGTTCATATCATTATTTTACATTGAATTCACCCCATGATACTGCATGTATAGACATGCAAAATAGTACACCTTACTAATAAATTTATTCATACAATATACAAATATAATATATAATCAGACCTTCCTAAGTGCATAGCCAAGGGGTCTACATGAAAAAATCATGACTTGCATTTAGAGAGGTAAAAATCTATATGTATATATGAATTTGGGCCAAACATAACCATGTATTTAGAGAGATTTTTATAGACTATGCATTTAGGAAAATCTAACTGTATAATCTATAGACCAAAACTTATTGTGGTTGGCAGACCCAAAACGAAGCAAGAACTAACACATTCAAGTATTAAACTCAATTCATTTTTTACTATATACCAAATTAAATAGTTAGCAGTAAAAGTTTTTTAAATCTAATGTAACAAAGCTATAGTTAACAAAATATTTCTGGTTGTTTTTATTTTAAGTTCTTCAGGAATTTGATTTTTTTGTATAGGATCATTGACACTTCGTTGAAACTATTTGGTAGATCACATGAAATTGAATATTGCTCTATGATTTGTCACATGCGCAACCTCAGCCAATAAAATTATACTTATGAAATTAACTCTACCACTATAATAAAAGAGCGAAAGGATTAAATCTATTTCTTTAAACATATATGTTATTCTAAAAGCCTATTTCATTGATTATACCGAAGTAATTTACTGTATTATAATTAACGCCTATTGTGAAAAAATCCATTAAACCATATAAAGTTCTTGTAACCTCTAAAATTTTCAAATGTTTTTATTCTTACCATTAACTTCATTTTTACATTATTACGTAGCTCAACAAAACGTTTTATCTATTCTTAAAAAAGAAGTTTGCTTTGTTAGTTTTTTTTTATCAATCAAATACATTCGACCATTATATAGTTCTATAGTTATACGTAATATACGTAGAAGTTTTACCTTCTAAGCAAAATACCTTTAGGTTGTGGATCTTTTTTGGATTCTTTCGCATAGTAACTGTTGGGGCTTTACTGAAAATAGAGACGGTCTTAATTTTTATTTTTTGCTTGTAAAATGTTACATTCTTAAAAAGTACTCTAAACTGTATAAATACAATTGTAAGTGATTTACCAATCAGAAGAAAGTTGGCCTATAGAGTAAGACCATGATTTTTTCGAAATCACTTTTTTTTAAACAAAAAATTGATTACTCGAAATTTTAACTATGCAAATACCTTTTGTGCTCTAATAAAAAAATTTTTTGCGAAATTTTAGTAGAAACATGCCCTATTGTAATCTTTATTGAACTTTAAAATATTATGTGTATTCGAGAAGATCTGATTGTCGATCTTTCATGTGCTGATTTACACCAGCCAATCATAGAAATAACGTACAATTCCATAAAATCAAAACACTTTACGCGTTGTATAAATACTGATCTTTTTTATTTTTTTTAAAACCCTTTCATTTTATTTAAATAATAATGTTTTTTAAATCTTTATTTTTTTTCTATCTATACCCTTATTTATCAAAACAAAAAGATGACGCCCTATTTATTCAAAACGATGACGCCTTAGACTTGCGACAAGAGAAGGTTAGTATTATGTTTGTGGACGATTTCGTAAATATGAAGGTTGTTTATCTCTCATCAAAGGTCTCTGATTCCGAAAGAGGAATCGGTTATGTTTTTACCTTATCGGAGTAATCAACCTTGGCATGTTATTGGATTTTTCTTGTTGGGCCGTCTGGCCTCGAAAGTGTCTGAGTCGGCTATTAGTGTATATTGGCTTGATAAAGGGTGTTTAACTAAGTTTTCGTAACTGGCCCTTGCAAGTGTTAGCGTCTGTTACTGGCTTTCAGAGGTGCCTAGGCGGGAGCAGAAAAATTTGCTAATATGCCACATAATATTCGACTAGTCATTTACTAATTTTATTTTTATTTTTTTTATTATATATTAGATCGGCTTTTATTATATAGAATAATACGACTTATAATTATTTTATATTATGATTGTTGTGCTTAATACGTATATGTAATAATAACAATGTGATTTTAAAAATTGTAATTATTTATTGATAATAAAACAAGTAACTAGTAAATAAAACAATATGTATTTGATTTAAAATAAGTTATATATTACTTGAGAAAGTGAATAAAATACGACTCGTTTACCGGCTATGCCACCTATTATAAGTGTCTTTTTTGTTACATTAAAATAATTTGATTCAAGAACGATATTTTTGAATTGCCGATATTTTATTCTTTTGGTTTACAATATAATATTAATATAGCAAAAATATTATTTAAAAAACTTCACTTATTATATAAAAATACATTAATTTCATTAAATTTAAATCTTCACTAATTGCGGTTATAGGCATTCGACCTTATTTAGTAATACGAGGCAAAACATTAATATTTATTTTACGCCTTTTGCATAACTAATAAGCTCAAATAATTATATTATGAATAACTTGAATGATTATAGATGATGAGAACTTAGATAATATTATGGTACAAATTATAAAATAATATTTTAGAATTTGTTAATACACCGGCATACGTTATATAGTATTGTCTAGTTCATGGTGTCCTTTGAACGATTTACAATCAGATCAGGTCAAATTTGAAAACACTTGAATTTTTTTAATAATTAATAGGTTCTTTTAGAACTTTAATGTTATAAATAGGAATTGGAATCGATGAATGTTCATCGAGCTTTTTAAAATATCAAATATTGTACCACTGTTAGTCATCTCACGTGATGATTTACGACATACGTGACAATGTAACACATGCGCCAAGAATTCTACAATTTCTACTAGTTCTATAATTTCTACTAGTTCTATTAGTTCTACTAGTTCTATTAGTTCTACTAGTTCTAGCCGTTCTATTTTTTACTTCACTGTTATTAGTTCTTCGTATGTATTAGTTATATTCGCTTGCACATCAATTAATCCATAGAATAGATCTGGTATAATCAATATATAATATTTTCCAGTCCAAGAACATGTATAAATAGCCCTGTTATTTTCCCTCGAATCATTAGTTTCTCATATAACAAAGTAATAAAGAGTAAACTCCTATTAATACGACTACTTATATCTTCATATATATTTAGCCGTTTGCCTCTTTCATAATTGCAAATCACTTAAATCCTCTTAAAGCGTAATCGCAATAAATCATATATTTTACTTAAGCATAAACACGGTATTGTTATTAATCGTCTAACATATCCGTCGCTAAAGTAGAATCGTTATACCAAACTTATAAGAGGTAGTTTTTAGGTGTAACACCACATAAAAATTTTGCGATATTAAATTTATATACAATTTACATAAACTTATTATAACACATTTATTAATCCTGAATATCAAATAATAAAATTGGTTTCTTTATATTACGTTTTAGAACTATCATTATGTTAAATAACTTTGGATTCAATAATGTCCTTTTCACATTTATACCATTTTCTATGCCTGAAAATAAGCATTCACTTTGCGTTCTTGTTGCAGGAATTGCAAGAAATTTTCGTGCCATTTCATCTAAATTCGCCATCTTTATTAGATCGAATCAAAATACTGCCAAACCCAGAATCGTTTTTTAGAATTTGTTATTTAGAACTATCAGTAATATCCTCTTCTATATTAGATTTTATTAATACGATTATATTCGTCCTTTTTGTTATTAAAATAACTCTACGAGAATATTAACAGAAGATGTAGTCTGTATTTATTCAAAATTAAATCAGAATTTCATGTTTTATATCAATTTGAAAGATTTATTAATATTTATAAAGACTGTTTGTAACCAACTTTTATTACTATCAATACACAGTTAAATTTAACGATCGAATTCAAACCTCAATGAATTAAAGCTTATTTCGACGCACAAGTGTTTGATTGATC